CCCAGCCACCTGGAGAGGTCGTCCCCAAAGAGTCCCCTCCAGGTTCTCTCCAACCTCGCTGGAAGGCCCCTGTCAGGATCTGCCCCCCGACCCTTGTGTGGCCACACTCCAGGGAAGGGGCTCCTGGCTGCAGGGGACACATCTAGACTCACAGCCCACCCTCCCCGGCCCTGCACACCGCGTGCGGACGGGACAGTAAAGATTTCCCGGAACGGCGGCCGACGACATCTGAGCCCCAGGCTCCCCGAGACGTCCGGCCCTGGCCTGGGTTCCCGAGCCTCACGGTCGCGTCTCCTCTCCTTCACGGAGACACAGGGCCCTTGTCTGCATGCACGGCACCCTCGCGGGAGGGGGACCTCTTCTTGGGGTTCTGGCCTCTCAGGAACAGGCCCGTGAGGATCCCGTGACAAATTCATCGTTCTCCTGCCTTTTCTCAAGTGTCAGAGGCTCTGAAATCACAAGTCTTTCCCTCACCTGAACTATTAACCCAAATTCACTGTCTCTCAATACACAACCTTACAGGCTGTCTTACTGGATAACATTTGGTTCCAACAGTTCTGTTGAAAACAGCATCTTTCAAAACATCTTTGAAGTTCTGCTATTTTTGCAAAAACTTCACCCGCTGAGCCCGTGTTCTGACCCGCACTGTCTCTTCCCAAATGCCCCGGCCTGTTCTCTCCCGGAGCTCCCGCAGGATCCACGATGCTGTTCTCACGCTCGCCTGCAGCAGGGACCTCCAGGAGGCACACAGGGCCGCAGTTTGCCTCCACGGCGAGAACGTTCCTCCCCAGGTTGGAACAGGGGCCAATAAACACTTCAGTCGGCTGCCTGCACACCTAGGGTCCTGGATTCCATCCATTTTGTCATTTGGAATTGTCTCGTTACTTCTGATTGTATGTTAAAGTTTTGTAATTTATTGCCTATGAATTTGAGAAAACGATGCACATAATAAGTACACGCTCTGCGACCTCACACTCCTGATGAACACGGACTGGACGGCAAGCGCCTGAGAGTTTCTCCCTCCCGTCCTTCCTTGCTACTCAGGTGTGGCCTTCGCTGGTTGCCACTGCTATGCACGTTCCCTCCCACACAACGCACGACAACCAGACGTCCTTCCTGGCGCTGAGGGACAAACCCACTAAGTATGGCAAACCCGCCGCTTACTCAGAGATGCTTCCAAGGAAAGGTTTTGGTCAAATGGAGGAAATGTAGAAATGCACACAAGGAAAGCTCATCTGGGATGGAGTGGGGGGCCAGCAGGGCCGCCCTCGGGTCCTTACCGGGGGGGTGCCCAGCAGGAAGCCCAGCACCCTGCAAGTCTACACTACTTTCCCTGGGATTTCACCGCCCCAGCAGGAGGCAGCCAGCCTCCCCCTCCCACCACCGCCCAGCCAGGGAGGAGCCCCTGGGCTTCCAACTCCCAATTTCCACCAAGACCTCTGTGTTTCCACAGCCACCCCAGCCCCTGCTCTCCTCTGTAAGAGAGCCTTCCTCCCCTCTGGTCTCCAAATTGCCTGTGGTTTTGTGACCTTACACGTCCAGAATTGCAATTCTCTGCTATTCCAGAATAAACTCAGTTTTGTGGCAAAATAACTGACCATTTTAATTTTAAACTTACTAGTAATCAGAACAGCTGGCATTAACAGAGGGATGGACAAATACCCTGTCAGAAAACCGTGGAATGCAGGCACAGCCCCCTGATTTGGGGAAGGGAAGCAGGTGTCGTGGGGCAGGGGCAGCGATGGGGACACTGGGGCGCAGGGCCAGGGAGGACTGCTTATCTACAGGGGAATAAGGAATCATTTCCCTTGTCAAGTTCATGGACCAGAACCGAGTCCTGTGGATTTCAATGTCATGGAAACAAGGAGAACACACAGGAGCAAGATCCAGCAGGCGTGTGTATGACCTGAGCGACGGAAGAGGTTTCTCATGGAACAAAAGTAGGGTGATCTACACAGGAAGGACGGGCAAGTGCAAGTGTTTTGCAAATGTGAAGAGTCCATGCACGCGGACAACGGAGAGGAACGGCAACCCGTGACCTGGGCAAAACACCATCAATACACAGAAATGAAACAGCCCGGAGCTCCACAGTGCGTGAGGAAAACAGAAGAAATCAGGAAGCAGACAGGCGGGTTACAGGTGACAGGAGGCTGGAAACGCTTCCACAGAAGGCGGAACCCCACAGAGGCCAATGCTCCACCCCGGGGGCAGCAGAGAAACCGATGTGTGACCCCAAGCAGATGCCGAGTCCCGCACCCGAGCTGGACAAAGTGAAGCCGGATAGCTCCCAGCGCCGGACGGCCAGGCATCAGCCCTGACGGGGGACGCACACACTGCATGTGCGGCTGCTGGTCGGTTTTCA